CATCTTGCTCTGTCACCCAGGCTGGAGTGCGGTGGCACAATCTTGGATCGCTGCAACCTCTGCCTCTCAGGATTCAGGCGATTCTCCTGTCTAAGCCTCCTGAGTGGCTGGGATTACAGGCACCCACCACCATGCCTGACTAATTTTTGTATTTTTAGTAGAGATGGGGTTTTGCCATGTTGGCCAGGCTGTTCTCAAACTTCTGACCTCAGGCGATCCACCTGCCTCAGCCTACCAAAGTGCTGGGATTACAGGCGTGAGCCACTGAGCCCAGCCTAGAGCTCATTTGTTTTTAGCACTGAATGATATTTCATTCTCTGGATGCCTCATAGTTTGTTTATTTATTTATCTACCAAAGGACACCTTGGTTGCTTCCAAGTCTTGGCAACTATGAATAACGCTGCTATAAATATCCATGTGCAGGTAAAAAAAATAGTTTTTAACCTCCGTGTAAAATTTAGATATTAATAAATGCCTACTTTTTGAAGTTAAAGACTAAGTAAAAAGATGCATAAAAATGCTCAACACAATACCTGGAAAAATAGCAAGACCTAATCAATTTTGGTAATTACTGTGTTCATTGATTTTAAATTTCCTTCTCACCCTTTGAATGCTAGTAAGTGGAATACCTCAAATGCTGATAGATATCAAGGACAACCTACCTCCAGGAAAAACCAGCTTCCAGGCAAAAATCATGTCTGGTTAGAATGATCTCTGTCCTTGGAAGGAGACTTCTTCCCCAAAAGCAGTAGATTCTTCCACCTACTCTCTTCTCCCTACAAGTGCCAAATATCAGTTCATGAAAGGAGACAGGAGTTGCTAAACTGGTTGGTAGCTTATTTTGTTTTTATTTGATAATATGTATTGCCACCTTCCGTGTAAATAGCTAAAAGAGAGCAGAGGCCCAAATAATGGAGCACATGTTCTCTCCTTTCAAGCTGTCCGGTAGCTCTTTCATCAGGCTAGGGGCCTCTTAGAGGACGAATGGTTTTATCTCCCCCAGAAATAAATTAAGCCAAGGAGATAGTTGTCAAGCACTGGCACGAGACTGGCCCAGCGACAGCATCCCTATCCTTGGGATACCCTCCTTAGAGGATATGAATGGAATTGCTAGGATTATGAGCTCGTAGTAGGCTTGGGGAAGAAAGTGACTTTCAACAGCTGGAAAAGCTAGCCTCAAAACTGACCACAAAGGAGTTTAACTTAAAGAATTCAGGAGAAAACTAAGCTCCAAGTGGAAAACCTGTTTCACATAGACCTGTGGAGAAGCACACTGCCCAGAGGACTGTCTGTGTTCCTTTACACCAAGATTAAATATATCTACTACGTCNAAGGAGATAGTTGTCAAGCACTGGCACGAGACTGGCCCAGCGACAGCATCCCTATCCTTGGGATACCCTCCTTAGAGGATATGAATGGAATTGCTAGGATTATGAGCTCGTAGTAGGCTTGGGGAAGAAAGTGACTTTCAACAGCTGGAAAAGCTAGCCTCGAAACTGACCACAAAGGAGTTTAACTTAAAGAATTCAGGAGAGAAGGTAGTTCTAGATGGAAAACCTGTTTCACATAGACCTGTGGAGAAGCACACTGCCCAGAGGACTGTCTGTGTTCCTTTACACCAAGATTAAATATATCTACTACGTCTGCCTACTCCCTCCCTGTCACCTGCCCTTCCAGTCTCAGTTTAAACCAGCTCCTCCTCCTTCCAGCCCTCTTTTTTTAAAGAGGTCTTTATTAGTTCTAAACATGGAAGGGGAAGGCAAGAGATGATTGGCTAAGAGGGAGCAGCACCGCCCTGCCCATTCCCCTCCCATTCCCTCCCTGAGGAAACAGCTGGAATGAGAGGTAGGGAGGGAGGCTAGGATTGGCCGAGTCAGTGGCAGGGTGGGGAACAGTCAGGACAGACGAAGCATTTACCTGTCTAGGTAAGTCAGGAGGAGGTCAAAAGGAGAAGAAAACAGTAAGAGGCAACGAAGCAGCCTCTGTCTCTGCCCTTTGATATAAAAGGGTATTTCTTTTCCTCTCTTCAGCCCCCAACCCAGTGGAGGTGAGTTAATCACTAACCAACTATTGCTTATCCTGCAGCAAGAGGAGGGGTTTCATGGGAAATCAGAGCTACAGGGGAGGAGAGGCATCCCTCTATACCTCAGCTAGGGGGCTGTCCTCTTAGTTCCTCAGTTCTCTGAGTCCATTCTGGGATCAGATCAGGTGGTAGTGACTTGAGATTGTAGCATTTTCGTGGAGACCAGGGCTGGGAGGCATCTTCTTTTTCATTTACCTATTTAGGTTGGATAGGCATATTATGCAAACAACAAGAAAAAGAAAATAGATTTGTTTTGGAAATTTCCATCTCTGAACAATTGAAATTGAGTTGTGATTTTGGAAAAGAAAAGTTGAAATAGAGGGAGTCAAAATGGGGGAGAGTATTTTGGTTTTCCATTGCGTTTGTAACAGGAAATTCTCTAGTGACTTTGTCAGCACGGTGTTGATCTTTATTTAAATAATGGGTGCAGTGTGTGCGTGTGTGTGTTCGATCATGCTTGTTTGACAATGGAGCTCTCTGTGGACAGGTGTGTTAATCGTGAGCTGTACTAGGTTGTTTGTAAGGGGATATGAGGTTTGGGCATGTGGGGAAAATTTCAACTCCAGCTACCAGCTCACCTTTGGAAAACTCATGGATAATCTAGCTGCAAAGTCAAGTTTATTTGGGTTCTACTCAATTAACTTTCTGACTTTTCCTGTTAATAGATACAGAGTCTGGCAAACAGAAATCTCCCTGGCTGTGCCTGGCCTCACCCACATGAATATTTCATGGCTGCATGTGAAGTCTAGTTAGAGTTCCAAGTGGGGCTCAGGCCAAGGTAGTGTGGCAGAGTCCGCAGAGAGAGAAGCAGACCAGAGTGGTGGCTTTGATTTGTTTTCCTGCAGGTGTCCCAGTTGGCAGTTTGTGTGGCAGATTTACCTTCAGAAGGCAGGCAGATCTAGGAGTCGAGTCAGGGTAGCAAGTTGCTTCTCCTTTATCTGACCTGGGGGGTTTAACGCTTTGGTCCCTAACATTGACACTTTTCCTCCTGCTGCAGGGAAGAGGGAAGTGGGAAGACCTCAGTGCCAGCTCCAGGGCCTGGCACACACAGCCCTGAGTGAAAATATAATGGTTTTCCAGTCTTGGCAACTAGAGATTCAGACTTGAGCTTATCTCACACCACAGAGCCAACAGCCCACACTCACTGACTGAGGGCTGCCCTAGATGGTGAACTTAAGAATAAAGAGCGCCCACCGTATCTAACAAAGCTCTTCTTTTTTTTTTTTTTTTTTTTTTTTTTTTTTTTTTTTTTTTTGTTTTTTTTTTTTTTTTTTTTTTTTTTTTTTTTTTTTTTTTGGGACGGAGTTTCGCTCTTGTTACCCAGGCTGGAGTGCAATGGCGCGATCTTGGCTCACCGCAACATCCGCCTCCTGGGTTCAGGCAATTCTCCTGCCCCAGCCTCCTGAGTAGCTGGGATTACAGGCACGCGCCACCATGCCCAGCTAATTTTTTGTATTTTTAGTAGAGACGGGGTTTCACCATGTTGACCAGGATGGTCTCGATCTCTTGACCTCGTGATCCACCCGCCTCGGCCTCCCAAAGTGCTGGGATTACAGGCTTGAGCCACCGCGCCCGGCCCACAAAGCTCTTCTATGCAGAGAGTATTCTATGTGCTCCTTCCCTCAAATCCACTGGTGAAAGAAAAGATGATAATGTTGCCTAAACACACACAGAAACTTGCCTATGTGCTCATGGAGACAGATATGCACATAGTGCAAATTTTAGTCTTTCTGATATTTTTCTTAGGATATTTTCCAGCCTAAGCCACGTTTCTGGGTAGTCAGCAAGAGAGACCTGGATTGAGAAGCAGGAAATCTCTCTGACTAGTAGGCAGAGAAACAGAGCTCTTGGAGGACATGTGAGTGAGCTCCTGGGAGGCGGAGGATGAGAGGGACCTGGATCTGATGAGAATGTGCAGACAAGCCAACTGGGATGGGGCGGGAGCCCTCTCCCCACTACACCCTCTCCAGATGCCAAAACTTCACCTTTATTTCCTCTCTTCCTAGGCTTGGCAGTATTGAGTATTTTAGTCAGTGGAGTAGTTAATATTTAATGTGACTTTGGATGGGTGGCCCTGACTATAGGCGCTGCATGTTTCTTAACCCATTCCCTCCTCCTGTTAAGTCCCCAAAGAGGTCAAGGGTTAAGAGACACTAAACTCTCACCTGGAGTGTTTTGCTTGTTTCTCAGGCTTCTTATCAGGGTTTCAATGGCTGCCTTACAATAGCCCCCAAGGTTCAAGGTTATAAAGTCGGTAAAAAGAAATGTAGCACTTTTTTTAACCTTTCAGATTCTTTAGGTCAGAAAACTAGGTGTGGAGATGAGGTGACAGTGCCTCGCTCAGCTTTGGTTTCGGGTTCAGATTCCTCTCTGCTGGGATTATGTAATACCTAAAGACATGATCTTCCTTGGCAGTTGGTGTCATCTCTTACTGTGGAAATATCTGCTGTTGAGGTAATACACTGGCCTGGAAGTATAGAGCTGAAGCAGGTAATTTTTAGGGTTTAAGGTATGAAGTAGTAGAAGGGGGTCATAAGGCTTTTAGTATTTTAGTCAGAGGTGGCTAGTAAGCATTCTCAGGGGCATGCCCCTCTTGCATCCAGACAGTCCCTAGGATGCCATCGGGAGGGCTGCCCTGTATATGCAGATATAGGTCATTCACTGTTTCCCTTAGGAAGGGGTAGTTGTAAGAGCTCTTTCTCATCTGTAAAATGAAGAAAGCGTCATGTCCTGCCTGTTTCCAGTTTACGCTGAAGATATAATTAGCATATGTGAGAGCACTTTGCGAGCTATGGCATGCTGCATGCTGTGTTCTTATACAGCAGAGCTTTTCCTACTGCTTTTATCTCTTCCAGCTACTTGAGTACATCCTAGATTCTTTTTTTGAGACAGAGTCTCGTTCCGTTGCCCATGTTGGAGTGCAATGGCACAATCTTGGCTCACTGCAATCTCTGCCTGCCGGGTTCAAGCAATTCTTCTGCCTCAGCCTCCTGAGTAGCTGAGATTACCGGCGTGGGCCACCACACCTGGCTAATTTTTGTATTTTTAGTAGAGACAGGGTTTCACCATGTTGGCCAAGCTGGTCTCGAACTCCTGACCTCATGATCCACCCACCTAGGCCTCCCAGGACATCCTAGATTCTGGTAGGAAAGAGAGGCTAGAAAGCCTATGTAAAGTCTAAAGCATAATTAGAAGCACAAGGGTAATAATTTTCTCTGAAAGTAAGAGGCACCATCTGCTTACCCATTCATAGAGAATACTATGTTAATTACAGTGAATCACTTTAAATATTTATGCTCTGATTTTTACAGAGTAGAAAATTGGAGCCCAAAACTAGACCCCTAGATCTACACTGACTTTTTGACAACAATGCTTTTGTATCACTAGTACCTATTATTAGGTGCTCATAAATGTTAGTTTAACTGAAAACATTGCCCAAATTCCACTGAGCCATGTATTATCTGGGAAATTAAATATTTAAGAAAAAATCACAGTAATAGGTTAGAAACCAAGAAGAAGCCTTCCAAAAGTTCAACCCAATAGACCCTAGAACAGACGGCAAGTTCATTCATTCAGCATTTTTTGTGTGTTTCCTGTGTGCCTAAACTCATAGAGATGGATCTCCTTTGCTATAGTGGCCTCAACCCTATAGAATGTTAGGAATGGGTTAATCCTCCCTGAACTTGGCCATCAGTCATGGAGTGGGTAGCTGAGATGACTGAAATTCATCCACATGATTCTCATGTTTCTGTTTCTTATGGGTATTGGGAAGCTAACCTCAAGAAGAAACCGTAAGAACTGCCTCACCCCATGTTTATTTATCACTGGGCTTCTTTGCTGTCACTGCCCCTCCAATCCCCTCCATATCTCCTAGGAGGATCTGGATCCCTGTGAACCAGATGTCTGGCTCACTAGATATTTTTCCTTTTTCTTCCCCAACATCCTGCCCCCCACTTGCCCCTCTTGAGAGACTCCTCCCAAGCAGAAGAGGAGCTCCGTGGGGCTCCATACTTGCTAGCTCTATAGGATTGGAAGGCTGACACCCAACCCAGCCCAACTCTGACTTTGGCATTGGAAGTGATTACTAACAAAGGCCAAGAGAACATCAGCCCTCACATCCAAACCCCAAGCCTCCAGATCTCAAACAGATCACGTTTTCTTCTAAAACTTTTTACCTAGTATTTGGAGGGTAGGAAGGATGAAAGAAAATGCAGGATGGCATTATAGGGAAAATATGGATTTAGAATAAGACAAACTTTATTCTAATTCTGGATCTCCTCCAACTCTCTATTTGATCTTGGAATGGTCTTTTCATCTTAATTCTTTTAGAATTTCATTTTAACATAAGACACTCACCTCTGGCCTGCCTGTGTTCTTGGAGTATTTCCCACAAGCAGACACATAAAAATCCTTGGGACTTTCAGAGGGAAGATGGCACTGCCTTCCTTTGCTATTACTATTGTTAATGATTACCTTGAAATTTTCTTTCTGTAAGGAATTGGAGTTGGGAGGAAACTACACGGGACATTTCTCTTGTTCATTTGGCACGGGCTAGGGAATCTCACTGGGAACATGTGAAACAACAGAGGCGCTAGAAAGAAAGAAATGTGCTAGAAAGAAAACAGGTTTGTGTCAACCACTGCAGGTGCCCTGTTTATGCCTCCAGGCTAGGGAGCTAAAGATGGACATAGTGGTGGTTGTGATGATGTTGATGATATTGACTTGAGACCAGGTGACAATTTACACTATGCAAAGTGTTTTACATAGAGTATTATGTTCTCACAATGACCCCATGGGATAGGTATTATTACGGGACCTGTTTCTTCCCTCAAGCCAAAAATCTTGGATTAAACCAGAATCCTTCTTTTCTAGCTCTTGTTTCTCTTGTTTCAATTTAGTTTGATCCCAGATGGATCTTGTCTTTTTCTTGTTATAAGAACAATAACAGTTAACTATGGACTTATGAGGTGTTATGGTATTTACTACCAATTAAACTATGCTAAATGTTCTTTCATGTAATCCTTATACTAACCTTATTTAATGCAGAAAAACAGACTCAGAGTAATTTGCCTCAAGTCACATAACTGTAAATGGCTAAACTGGGATTTGAGCCCAGACCCAACTAACTCCAGAACCCAAGCTATTAACCCCTGTAATATGTATTGCTTATAGTAATGAAAATGTAGGTTAAGCTCCCTGGATCAGAGAAAAATGTAAGAGAAGTAGTAGAAGTTTCTTTCTGACTAGACTGCCTCTCTGCCACCTAAGTCCGTCCTCTGCATGTATTTGAGCCAGCTCCAGGGTCCTTCCATGCAGGCCAGGGGTCTCGGGCAGTGGCTGTTCACAGCCCCCTTCCAGTTCTCTGCTTGCTTGGTGTCCTTCCCGCCATGCCACCCAGGGCCTGGGCAGAGCCTTGCCGAAGCCTTGGCTCACATGTGGCTTTGATTCTTCTCTTTTCAGGCCCGGCTTGGGACATTGTTCACTTCCCCTCACTTCCCCTCTGGGAGCCCCCTTTGCCATCCCTGAGCCTTGTTTCAGGCGATGCCCGAGAGGGAGCTGTGGCCAGCGGGGACTGGCTCAGAACCCGTGACCCGTGTCGGCAGCTGTGACAGCATGATGAGCAGCACCTCCACCCGCTCTGGATCTGTACGTAATACTCTCCCTCCTGCAACCTGGTCTGCTCTCTGCATACCTGCCCTGCCCTGCCCTGCCCTGCCCTGTCCTGTCCTTTCCTGCCACCCATCCTGGCTCACTGCACCTTCTCTTTCATCTTCCTCATTGGGGAGTGAATCACAACATCAGTGGGTGCTTTCTGCCTGAGTCAGCTCTGGCTCTATAGAGAATAGGATGGGACAACCTTAGACATCAATTGGGCAAAGGAGACTTTTTCCCACAATTTTCATTAGGTTGGGCATTGGGTTCAGCAGAGAGAGCAGGCCTGTAATCTGAGGTCATGGTGGAAACCAGAACGTAGGTTCTTGTAGCACGTGGGTTACTGAGGTTCTCTGCAATGAGCAGCATTACTTTAGTCTATTACAAAGATCAAAGAAAATAGGTAATTAGGAGCCTAGGTTCTGGAACCAAACAGATCTGAGTTCTCTACTTATAAGCTATATGACCTTGGGCAAATTACTTAATTTCTCTAAGCTTTAGTCTCCTTATTTTATTGAGGTTCTCTGCAATGAGCAGCATTACCTTAGTCTATTACAAAGATCAAAGAAAATAGGTAATTAGGAGCCTAGGTTCTGGAACCAAACAGATCTGAGTTCTCTACTTATAAGCTGTATTACCTTGGGCAACTTACTTAATTTCTCTAAGCTTTAGTCTCTTCAGTTTTCAAATGGCATAATGTTTACACTTAATTCAACTTGTGGGGAGTAAATGAGATACAGGTAAAGCACCTAGCATATGCCTCTATGTGGAGAACAAACAGCCTTTCTAGAGCAGAGACTAAGAATCTTCCAAAGCCACTGTGTTTAGCTACTTGTGGGTGGCATTTAATAAACTAATTTTTCTGGGCATGAATTTAAATCTCAGTTGTTGTAAGGCTGGTGTGAAAGAGTAAATTTGTCCTGCACTAGATGCAAACATTTGTTGTTCATGCTTGTCACGTACATAAGAATCCTGGAGAATTTATGCTTTGTTGCTTTATATCCTATGGAGGTATTTGAAAATTTAAGGATTATAAGGGTGTCTACTGAATGTCAAGAGTGTCTAAGACAGTCAATGGACTTTGATATGTAAAAACAGAGTAGCGAAAGGAACAGACACACACAAATCCAAAGTGCATGAAATCACACAAAATTTCTTTTTGACCCTAGATAATGGGGCTGTGGAGACATCTTTCTATGTCTGTTAGGCTGAAGCCAATGCAATAGTCCCACACCATTGGACACAGAATGTGACAGGGATGAAAGTTTTCAGACTGAGTCATTCACAAAGGAGAAACTTAGAGTCAGCGTATCCTTGGCAAGGCTATTTTAGGGGGAAGAGGACAATAAAGGTATTTTTCTTCAAGAAACTTGGAGTCAGCTTCAGGGCTGCCAGGGGCTATATTTGGGGCTTCCTTTCACATGGAGGCCTAAGTCAGCCAACAGACAGGTGGCTTTTTAAGGGGCAGAGGCAACTGAAAGGGTTATTCTGCAACCATCTCTACTCTCTCCAGGATATTTTCAGAGCTTTCTCAAAATCTTCCCTGGCCATCTGGGTGGGCCTGAAGAATATACAACTCTGAAGTGTCCCAAATATTAGGAAAAGGGGTGGAGGCACCAAGAAGAGACTTAGCCCAAATTTCTTACATTCCAGTTTGCTCTTTTGTTTTCTCTTCAGCCTCCTCTGTGGAAGAGCAATTCCATCAACCTTCTTGTCCTGGTACAGCATAGATAGTAACTGCCTGAGATGACCGTTATTGTTTTCTTCCAGGTACCTCTGTGTACTCTCTCATAATGAATATGATCTACTTTAAGATCTACTTAATATTTAATACTAAGCTGCTTTTCCCTCCTCCCATACCATCCAGTTTCTCCGCGAACCAACCCCTTTAAGTTAATATTTGCTTTAGAAATGCACAGTTATTTGAACATTAGCCAGAGCCAAAAGTCATCAAGAAAGTAAATGTACAAGGGGAAAAAATCTCCTATGGAATGCATTTCAAAGTCAAGTATAAATCACTTAGTACATTTATCTGTGGCTAGTCATGCCGCAGTTCCCATTGGCCTGGCAGGCTGTAGTTGGCTGCCTTTCCTGTTTTTCCTCATTCTGTCCTTCACATACCAGATCAAGTCTGCAGAAGTACTTTTAAAAGTTAAAAGCAATACCACTGACATTTCAGGTCAAATTGTTTTGTTGCCCTTCTAATTTGGAGCACCTCTAAATCAGAGATGCCCAAAGTGAAATGTTTGACAAACGTCACACAGAGGAATTGGAATTGGAACTTGGGACTGCTTCTCATCTGTGCCCCTAAGTATTCCAGCCAGGACTGAGCCAAAGAAAGGCCCTGGCCTTGGGCCTCCCCAGCTCGGGAGCTGGGTGCTGGTGGGCCAGCACCCTGACCGTCTCTGTCCTTCCTACAGAGTTTCAGGAAGCAACTCCAGCGGTTTGCAGAGTAGCAGGAGGGAAAGGTTTCCAGCTCTTCAGCATTCCTTCCCCTCTGCAGGGTGGTTCTCAGGCCCCGCCAGTTTCTGCAGAGGGAGCTCATTCTCACAGCTCTCTCTCCCTCTCCTCGCTCCCCCACAGAGTGATAGCAGCTACGACTACCTGTCCGCTGAAGAGAAGGAGTGTCTGCTCTTCCTGGAGGAGACCATTGGCTCACTGGACACAGAGGCTGACAGCGGACTGTCCACTGATGAGTCTGAGCCAGCCACAACTCCCAGAGGTTTCCAAGCACTGCCCATAACCCAGCCCGCTCCCCAGGATAAGGCAGATCTCTCTGGGGTAGAACTCCAGCAAAACCCAGGAAATCAAGATGTCCCTCTGGCCACTTTCTACCTTGCTTGCCCTCTGCCTCAAGGGTCACAGGCAGAAGAAGGAGTAGCCACAATCCCCACCACTCTCCTGGCTAAACAGAGCCTTGTCCCTGGAGGGAAGGAGGGACCGCCGGCAAGCCAGCTTCCTATGTCTTTCTATGAAGTATCAGAGCCCTGGAACGGAAAGGGGGTTGACTAGCTCCCATTCTCCTGTGGAAAAATTCTAAAGAGATATGACCACAGGGGCGGGGGAGGCAGTCAGGGAGGTCTGGGTGGTTGGCTCTGGAGAGACTGAGTCAGTCTAGGGAGCTAATCTGGGTGGCACAGAGGACAAGGGTAGGAGAGATAAGGAGAGGGAAGGGCTCCCCAGCTGCAGTGGGAAGCACCTTGAGGCCCTCGTCAGAGAGCATGGAGAGCCAGTGGTGTTCAGGCTCAGCAGAAGGGGAACAGAACAACACAACTGTGGTCATGTGTATGGGGCCACATGTCCCAAAGTGTGAGGAGCATTTTACTCCTGTGAGGGCTGCAGTTTTTTGTTGTTTCATTTAGCAAATATTTATTAACAGTTAGATCCTGCCTGGAGCTAGACCTACAAATGGAGATATAGGACTTTTCGGCTCCTTGAGACTGATTCACTGGCCCCGTGGGCCTGATGCACCTGCCTAGCTCACTGGAAGGAAGGAAGTCACTTTCTGGTGTGGGGACACTATGACTATTGCAGAATCATCCAGGTGCTCATAGAAAGTGAAAGTAGAAGAAGGCAGAAGCCTGGTTGAATCAAGAGCAAATCATTTATTCATAGGCTTCCATTGGGCTTAGTTATCTGGAGCCCCAAGATAGGTAGAAGGAACTGTCCCAAATTTATCCCCAACTCTGGTGCCTCTGTAGAAGCCTGAGGAGAGGATGAGTCAGGAACTTAGAGCGATCAGGGGTCACTTTCTTGCCACCAATTATGGAAAATTAATTCTCAGTCAAAAAGGATCTGCTATTGTTATTTGTAGAAATGGGGTCTCTTATGGTGCCCTGGTTAGTCTCGAACTCTTGGGCTCAAATGATCCACTTGTTTTGGCCTCCCAAAGTGCTGGAATTACAGGCATGAGACACTGCGCCTGTCCCCAGATCTGCTATGACTGATCTATTAATCTAAATGATATCCAGACAAAAGTTCTCCTCCTGTAAAAACGAAACAAAATAAAACCCATTCGTTGTTAGTTTGGGATCAGAGTTCAGGAAATAATTGCTTTCCCCTCTGCAGCAGGGCCCTCACCTCTATCCACTCTTTTATGTTCTTTCTGATCTTCACAGGAGGTCCAGAGGAGATCATCACCCAGCAAGGACCAGAGGCAAAGACAGTGACAGAGCCCAGCTCATCCCATCCTCCCGAGCCCCAGGGCCTGGGCCTCAGATCTGGCTCCTATAGCCTCCCCAGGAATATCCACATTGCCAGGAGCCAGAACTTCAGGAAAAGCACCACCCAGGCTATCAGGCACACCCCTGGAGAACCCGTGAGGCTTGTGCCAGGGCCTGAGAAAGAGCAAGTCAGCCGGAGCAGCGAACCCAGCCAGGCACCTGCCAGCCCCCGGGAGGCTACCCTTGACTTGGACGTGGTGCTCATTCCCCCACCAGAAGCTTTCCGGGACACCCAGCCAGAGCAGTATAGGGAAGCCAGCCTGCCCGAGGGGCCAGGACAGCAGGGCCACGCACCCCAGCTCCACACACCATCCTGCTTCCAGGAGAGAGAGCAGACTGCTTCAAAGGCCATGTCCCAAAAAGCCAAGGAAACAGGCTCAACCGGGTGCACACAACAACCCCGGCCTCCTCCTGCAGTATTGCCTCAGAATGTAAAAGCTGAAGATGCTCTCCTCCCATCAGGGGAGGACCCGAACACCCGACTGGCTCCCCTCACAGCCCCTAAGCCCCGGAAGCTGCCACCTAATATTGTTCTGAAGAGCAGCCGAAGCAGCTTCCACAGTGATCCCCAGCACTGGCTGTCCCGCCACACTGAGGCTGCCCCTGGAGATTCTGGCCTGGCCCCCTCTTCACTGCAAGAGCAGAGGAAAGCACGTAGAGAAGCCCTGGAGAAGCTGGGGCTTCCCCAGGACCAAGATGAGCCTGGACTCCACTTAAGTAAGCCCACCAGCTCCATTAGACTCAAGGAGACACGTGCCCAGCGTCCGTCCCCAGCCCCAGCTCAGGCCTCAGCAGCTAGCCCTGCTGCAGGGAAGCCTCTGGCTCGAGCTCTGGCTCCAGCTCCAGCTCAGGGACCTTTGCCAATGAAGTCTCCAGCTCCAGGCAATGTCGCAGCTACCAAATCCGTGCCAATTCCTATCCCTAAGGCTCCAAGGGCAAATAGTCCCCCGACTCCACCGAAGCCTGACTCAGGCCTGACTCTCCAGGAGAGCAACATCCCTGGCCTGAGACAGATGAACTTCAAGTCCAACACTCTGGAGCGCTCAGGCGTGGGGCTGAGCAGCTACCTCTCAGCTGAGAAAGACGCCAGCCCCAAAACCAGCACTTCTCTGGGAAAGGGCTCCGTCTTGGACAAGATCTCGCCCAGCATCTTGCGTAATTCTCGGCCCCGCCCGGCCTCCTTGGGCACAGGAAAAGACTTTGTAGGTATCCAGGTAGGCAAGCTGGCTGACCTGGAGCAGGAGCAGAGCTCCAAGCACCTGTCCTACCAAGGACAGAGCAGTGACAAGCTGCCTCGGCCCCCCTGTGTCAGTGTCAAGATCTCCCCAAAGGGTGTCCCCAATGAACACAGAAGGGAGGCCCTGAAGAAGCTGGGACTGTTGAAGGAGTAGACTCTGCCACCAGCACTGCCAGCACTGCCCCCGACTTGGCTGAACAAGAAGAGATGCAGGCTCCACATGGGAGCCTTTGCCATCGCATAACTCAAGGCTTGGGCTGGGGAAGGGTTCTCTCAGATGCTCTCTGCTGGAGATGAACGGGAGGGAGAGATTTGAATCGAAGCATACGTTTATATTCAGAGTGTTGTGCCATTGAGTGCCCACTTGGATCATTCTGAAGGTGATCTTCACAACAGGGTGTGTGTGTGGCGGGGGCGGGAGGGTGGGGCGGGATACATCACTGAAGCTATTTATGTAACACAATGAGTCATTGTTCAGAATTTTGCTCTTGTTAGAGGTTTTCTTACACTGGGTTAGATTCAAGCCTAGCCAGAGCTGAGTGGAGGGGATGGCCATGCCTGAGAAGAAAAGTCAGATGAGACAATGGACATGTCAGTGACTTGAACAGTAGTTACAGCCAGCAAATGCAGGCTCACATGAAATGCGGGCCTCCTGGAATCCCTACAGTGGATGGAGACTGGCTCATACCTTGCCAGATCTCTCTCTCTCAGTTCCAGCCTTCTGGACAAGGCCTAGGCTAAGAGGAGCTGGTTCATTATCTCTTCACCCACTGCCTTCTCAGTATCACCAGTCCCAAAGACAGGACACATCCCTGTAACCCAAGCTCTGGGTTGACTGACAGCAGAACAGCTCTCAGTTGGTCTGAGAAGGCAGGATAAGTGACCACATACTCATGCCACTACCTCCAGCAGGGAGAGTCCTTCTCCACAGGCTTGATAAGCTCGGTTACAAACTATGCTGTGGTCCCCAACTCTGCTGCTCCTGTTCTTCCTGCTTTCCTGCTCCCTATCTCAGCCTGCACAGACCCCAGGGCTAGGCCGACATTGAGATGGGAGCCCAGCCCACGGGCTTTATAAACGCCCAAGAACTGTTTCATATCTTCTCTGTGTTGATGCAGGTAGTTTTAAATTTTTCTCGGTTCCAATGATGGAAAAGCTACACCATACTTCCTCTGCCAGTCTTAGCAGAATATCAGAGGTAAGAGGCGCCTCAGAGAAGCTCCAACCCAGTGCTGCTGGGGAAGGGAAATGACTCACCCCGGGTCAGCCTGCCATTTAGGGAAAGAGCTGAGGTTCTTACCCTCATTGCCTGCTGCCACCTCTCCTTAGCCAGTGCTGTTGTACATCCACACAGCACCCTAAGAACTCATAGTCACTATCAAAGACTCACCCTAAGGTCCTTCGAGATCTCAAAGTGTCTTCTGAAGCATCAGAGATTAAATATTGTTCAGAATATTAGTTACTGCTGTGACTTTTAATTTACTCTTTGGAAGATACCTATATGGTAATTCATCATTAACCAGAACACCTATCCCCTCAAATTCCCTGACCAAGTTGTGCAGCTTGAGCAAATGTCAAAAGAGGGTATTATAGGTGGGTGGTGTGGGCTTGCAAATACAAGCTTGGAAGTTAGACATGGCTAGACATGACTCCTGCTTCCCCTTAGGAAGTAAATCTTACTCATGGCTGTGACCTGCTTGGAGTCCAGGATGCCCAGATGTAAGGGGCAGATAAAGGAAATGCTGTTGGAAAGGTGCCTTTTAAGGCTTCTGAGAATTTCTGGGCTGTGTTCTGATGGACACAGCACCTTAAAAGCCTAGAATTTCTGAAAATAATGACAAGGTTAAGGTAAGGACAACAAATACTCCACCCTGTCATGGTATGTGGGGTGTGGGTGTGGTGGTTTCTATGTACATTTGCTCACACAAGCACACCCAAAAGCCTGTGCCTCATTCCTGGCCATGGGTGAGGACCCAGTCTGCTGTGGCTCATAGGGACTCCCACAACTGGCCAAGTTATGTCTTATTACAGACCCCTGGAAAGAGAGAAAGTTGCCTTCTGGAGGACTGATTCCACATGCTGTATTCAGCTGAGCTGATTTCTGCCTTCTGGAGGACTGATTCTGCATGCTGTATTCAGCTGAGCTGATTTCTGTGTCTATTTCAAGCCATAACCTGGGAAATGATCACCTTATTCCATATTCATGAATTGCCTTGATTAATAGGGAAACTTGGGAATAGCAATAAAGTCAAACTTGGGTGGAATCTGGACCCCAGCATCACACAAGGGTGATTAGGATGGTCAAGGTCATCAGGAGTACAGCCTGTTAAATTCTCACACCCTGGGAAAAGTCATTTGTCTCCCAGACACGACAAAGTCACAGACAGCTTGCACCTGCCACTCAGCATCCTTATCCTAGTGATATGTCCATTTCCCAGTTTTCCTAATCTAAGACTCCTTTCCCTTGCTATTTAAAGATACTGTGCTTCTCCACATTCTCATCCTTCAAAGAGCATATTTTGCTCTAAGGATGGTCTTTGGGATTCAAGAATAGAATAATAAATCCAAACTTGGTCGTTCTCATTTTGAAGACAGACAAGAGGATCCAGTGAGGACATTCACCTTACTGAAAGTGGTGCTAAATCCAGCTGAAGTTGTATCTATCCTCCTGTAGCCATGTAGGGTTGCTCTTCATTCAGCTTGAATTGATATGGAGGGAGGTAAGAGTAGGGTCAGAATTACTCCTATCCCTTTTCAAGGAGTTGTGGATAGAGGTTTGTAAAGGCCATTCATTTGACTTTCAAAACAAAGCAACAGCTCTACTTCCACTTGGCCTTAGACCTCTGCTATACCCTGCCATAGCCTTGGTGCCACTGGGCACAAGCCACCTGCCAAATATAGGAGCAGCCTCTCCCAGCCTGGCATGGGGGAGTGGTCTGTGCACTCAGATGTGTCGACAGCTGCTCTTGTGAATCACCACGCCTGTGCTACCCTGGGAATTCTGCACTCTGAGTCCATGGGGCAGGATCACACGCCATCTCACACAGAGGTCAACGGATGAGCCCACTGACTCGTATGTTCCTTCCTCCACGGTGGGAAGCATGGTCTGGCAGAGGCTGCCCTGTAAGCTGGGGGTGGGCAGGTGCATGAACGTTGGCATTTGTTTTATGGAGAAAGGGGAGGTGAAAGATTGGAGAGCAGGTCCCCATCAATGTTCTGAGTTTGAGCTGGAGGTATAGATTAAAGAGTCTACAGGGTCTGTGAGTGTGTGAGATGAGCCCTTCTGTCCTTTGATGCTGGTTGTATGTGTAGGCTGAGAAGGACCCCACTATCAGTGTGCAAAGCTGTATTCTCATGGACTAGAGGAGAGGGGGCTAAGGCGATGGGCAGGAGAAGTTGTACAGAATCTTAGCAGGAATGCAGATAGAATGCATCTAGGCTCTTTCCTCAAGAGAGTGATGATGGAGCATATAGATCTGGCTCAAAATCAGCCTCCATCACTTACTGGGGAACACTGGTGATGTCACTTTAACTTTCTGAACCTCACAGTCTTCACCTATAAGATGGGGAAAATAATACCATCCTTTCAAGAATGTTGAGATGAATAAGTGATGTAACACTCAGTTCTGGACACAGTGTAGTTACTCAGTAAATGATAATATTATCTTCTGGGTCTCATTTTTTTCTTCTCAAAGGAGGTGAATGTAGGGAGCGTTGGATGCCAAGAGCTCACCCAACTCACTTGTGAGAAAAAGATAGAGCCTGCTGCACATAAAACTTACAGCACAACCAGCCTTCGGCACAGCCTCCAGGTGACTCAGCTTCACCCATGCCAGGCTTCCTGGAATTTGAAAAGATGGCAGTTGGCATGGATGTGATGTGTGTGTTCTGGTGCAGCCAGAACCAGCTGTTTCCAGCTTCTGTATCCTCAAACCCAACTACTTTCCGTTGATCATCAGTCTCTTTCTGCCCATGACCATAGAGCTCACTTCCTTTTGCTTCCTCTTTCTTTCTTTTGCTGTGTGGTTCAAAGAGTTATATGCTGTTCTACAGTTATTTATTTTTTAAATGGATGTAAAAAAATCAACATACAACAGGAAGGAACTCCTCAGAAAGAGATAAAAGCTAGAAAAGGTTTTAAAATTTCTGGAGCATTTTGCTTTTAAATAGCACCTTCTTTTAAATTTGTTCATCTCTGGAATGAATCAGGCATTAGTTATCAGGAGGCAAGACATGCCTTGGATGAGGTCTCTAAATCTCTTCAGGTATGGGGATGTGTGAATTGCTGGAGTCGTGACCACTGTCATAATCATCACTGACTGTTAGCATACACATGCTGTAAAAATAGATGACACTGATTCCAGGCTGTCATTCTCTCTTACGCATTACCTAGTTGGATTGTTGTCCTTATCACCACTTGCCACATATCCAGAATTCAAAACAATGTGGAACAGGCAGAGGTCTGGACCGGGTGAGCTTTAGTGGGTCACTTCATCTCACTCTCAACGTGAAGGACTTGGACTTTCTCCTAGATCCAAAAGCCCTGAAATGTATGTTTCGGTAAATCCAAACAAGTTAGGAAAATCAACACCTGCCAAAAATCATCGAAATATAGTCTAAAATAAACTAAACCTCAAAGAACTTGAGACTGGAAGGAAACTTAGTTTCTCTAATTCAACCTCCCACCCAAAGAGGAATAATCTCTATAGTTGGAGATACATATATATATACATATATGTGTATATATATATATATATAT